GAAATATTCTGTTTCAGTTGCTTGGTTCAATTGATGCCTTGAAGGAGAATTCTTGGTCAATTACAACTCCAAGATTCCTCACAGATGGCGATCCAATCTGTCTGTCACCCTGATGTTTTAACGCTCTTGAGGAAGGGACTGTCCACTCTCTGCTCACTTTGACAGAGCAAAACACTTGTCAGAGGTGCTGATCTTTACTTTGGATGGAAACTCCCCAATCATCCATGAAAACATAAGAACAGACCTGGTTAGAATATGCAGTTTTGGTTAGTACAACTTAAAACAAGATTACAGCCGGCAATCTTGCAGCTTTTTACGTAAGTTTTCCATTTCAGCTTCTGGTTGCCTTGCTCAGCCTCTATTAATCACAGCACTAATAAAGCTGACCGCGCACTGTAAGAATGATAGCATGTTGCCACTGTGTAAGAAGTATGATCTGCCAAGCTTCGCCATAGGCTTACATCAAAGACTTTGAGCTCTCCCCATCTGCTGTCTCTGCATTTCCATCTTTCCATTTGTAGCGCAATCCCACAGAGCCGCACCATCCATAAAACAGCTTTTGTTTTAACCGTGCGAGCTCCACACCACAGCAGTGATCTATACCGACAAATACGTCACCACAAAACAGCAATCTCTTTTTTTCCCCTCAAGGTTCAGCTTCACAGACTTTATGTCCTGAAACAAAATAATGTCTGTTAGGGAATTTATTTCAGATGTAAAAATAAGTTCAAATTGGATACTAAGAGAAAAAAGGCAGGCAAATTCAGTTGACGGTTATAAAATGGGACAGAAAGGCAGGAGCTTTTATGGGGTTTGTTATATGACAAAGTGCTGTGAAGAGGAGAGAGATGGAAACAAAGTGATAAGATGGGACAGGTACAGCTTTGTGCTTATGCTGCGACCAAAAAGACACGCTTCTCAGTCATGCTATGATGGAAAATCTTACCTTTCGGAGTATACTGAATGCTTTAAGGCAGGGGTGCTCCCACTTTTTCAGCATGCGAGCTACTTATTAAATGATCAAGTCAAAACGATCTACCTACTATAAAAATGCAAAACATATATATATTTCTAAATATATTGAGGATTCTTTATATCTACAATGTATGTTGATGTACATGCAAAACCGCATGATTTATGAAATAATTTGCATTTAAGCACCGCCTCTGGCTGTCATCCAGGATTCATAGAACCAAAGTTACATTTGTAACTTTCGTTCTGTAGCGGCACTGTCATAGTAGAAACTCAGGGTGAAGACATGTTATTATAGATCCATGGTGAAGACATATGTTTACAAGCATTGACCCCAGTCCTCAGCCCTGGTTTGATCCTGGTTTAGCTCCTGTTTTGGTTGTTTTCGAGCGTGTGTGATCACTTTGCTGCTCTCTGATGTGGAGCGAGGATCGCAGCTGTGAACCGCTGTTAAGGCAGTATGATCCATGCTTTAGTGATCAGAGGTCGCACGTTTTGTTTGTTGTTGTTGTTGTTTTGGGGGCAAACTGTGCCGTGCAAAAACGCAAAACTCCGGTTATCTCTGTCCACACGAAAATGCATAAACGGATTAAAAATATATATATATGTAATGCGATCTTCCAATACTACCTTTGCGATCGACTGGTAGATCGCGATCGACGTATTGAGCACCCCTGCTTTAAGGTATGAAATATTAACCTATTTTCATTTGGTTGAATTTCTCACATGGCAGCAATGTAATGTGTATTTTTGACACTTGTTTTTATGTATTTCAGGAAAGGTAAAGAGCTCTAACACACTCTTGACATAGACCATTATCTGAAAGGGGTCTATCATCACACCATGAGTGGCCAGCATCATAACCAGAGGATTTAGACACAAAAGTACTTTTATGAGGTATTATTTTAAGATGTTCACAATGTGGGCAATGGAGACTACATTAAGTATACGGAATTTCAAGAAAGTCTATAATCATTATTTATATTTATATATAAATTGCTAAATTCTTTGTATTTGTAAATCCTATATATAAATTATGCCATGTTATTGACTGCAATCCTCTTTTACCATGGACGCTCAGGAAACTCACATCACCTGTACAACTGTTATTCTATATCTAATTATCTTGTCAGGAATCTCAACAAACATGAAACAGACCTAACTCAAAGCATGTGATCCCTTTTTATCCAGCCATAATGTCATTTATATATCGAAGCGTGGATGCAGAGACGTGTGCAGAAAGCTTTGACGTTCAGTGGTGTATAGTGAGAACAAACAAGTCCATTATTCATATAGGATCCACTAACAAGACACACGACTGAATAAGAGAAAGGGCCATTTGTCGGCTGTGGTCCCAGAAGTACATTTACACATATAAGCTTTGAAACGTATTCAGCGTAAGGGCATGCATCTGTGAACCAGTAGCGGCGCCAGGTTTGCAATTTTGGGTAGGCCTGCAGATTAGTAAGTAGGCTAAATTCGCTTGCAAACTACAAAGGCTAGCTGGAATTGGGGTTTCAAAGAATATGGCTCAAACGCACACACGCACGCACACGCACTCACGCGCGCACATACACCCAAGCTCATTTATGAAACTTGCGTAGAAAAAGGTGTACATTTTGGGTGTATATTCCATTTACGCAAAATCCACTGTCGGATTTATGAACATGTGAGATCCGCCCAGATCTGAGCGTACGCAGCTGCGGGTGTTGATAAATCGACTGAATACGAAAATATTTATGAAAGTCACACCTAGAATTATGCAGCAATCGCGTGTTTCACGCCCCGTCTTCGCGACAGGTCAGCAGGAAGCCGGCCAAAAAGACTGTTTGGAAGCCTCAAATGGGACGTTTGTTTGTTCATGTTTATGTAAAAATAAATATACTCTATATATTCAGCTGCGTTTTGAACAAATTTGCTAAAATGTTTTGATACATTAGAAAAATCTCTCTTGAATTAGAAGTGAATAAATATAGATTGATTGAATGAATGAATAATTCATATATATTATGCAGCGGTGGCTCTGAATGAAGCGTCTGCAGCGTCTTGGACGCAGCCTGGCTCGGGGTAGAAGTGCGCATTGAAGCGCTGTACACTTCAGAGAGCGTTTGCGGTCCAGATTTCACAAAGAAACTCTGGAGCCAAAACTTCTGCACATGTGGCGCGACCTCTCACGGCACTCGCTGCGCACTCTGGACAGGGCAGTGAGACATTTGTGAGTGAGCAATACCATCGATGCGTTATTGGGGTGTGTGTCTGTGTGAGGCTTACACAAATCTAATGAAATAACACATTGCTTTACCAGATGTGAATGAGGAATACAAATAGCCGTGCGTAATTACGCAGCGCAGAGCCTGCCACAGCAATAGCTGGGTCACACATCCCTGTTGCGTAAAGTGTATTTATATAGAGCCTTTGACTGTCCAGGATCACAAAGCGCTTCACATTTTAAAAACATACAGATCAAAATAATACACACACAAGTCAGATTTAATAGAGGGTCCTCATCATGAGCTGTGATTTATTCGAAGTTTGCGTGTTTCCATTAGACTTTTTCTGATGCGCAAATTTAAATTTTGAAACATGATCCTCAATGAAAACACAGCATATCATTTTGCCAGAGGGAATATGTTTATTGTTGTCCATATCTTGAATTTCATGCGTGTTTTGGCGTGTTGTGCCAAAGGTTGAGATCAGCGTATAGATTTACACCACCTCCAGACCTGGCGTATATTTTGTGCGTATTGTACGCTCACGTCCAGATAGATAAATGCGGAAAAGTGTAATATTTTGCGTACGCCTCATTTACACCCTGATTTGGCCGTACAGTAGGTCCCATTCCGTTTTGTCGCCTTTCACGCGTGAATCACACGAGACTCACATGTGAATCACGCGTCTTTTATTTTCCCCCCTCCCAGTGACGTTGCAATGACCAAAACAACCACCAGGTGGCACTTGTGAGCAGGGTTACATTGGCGAGTTTCTGCCCCGCACACAATGACAATCTGGTTAAAAGGAGCAACTCCTTGTAGCAGGCCAGTCTCTGGAATAACCCGCAGACATTAAAACTACTGCATACACTGATAAAAATAAATTTTAGGTGTACTAAATGTTATCATATAAAACTATATAATTCCTACATTGTTTATATAAGAAACTGTGTTTACTTACTTTTGCTAATTAAAATTGTGCACCAAAACGTGATTTAATCATTTAAAAAAGGGGTATTATATAGACACTGTAACAGTTACTTCAATTATAGAATTAGTCCATGTTCTATCAATGTGAAAACGCGAGTGAAATGTATTCAAAAAATTAAAGCTCTTGTTTGAATTAGCACATGCGCAGTGTGACCAAGACGAGCGCGCGATCACACGGCTGTCGCTCTCTCCCAGCCGATCCATGCTCCCAGCAGACTCGAACGAACACGAAGTGGAACGTGAAGATTAATGTAAGTAACTTTTCAATTGTTTTTCATGTGACAGTATATTCATTATTGTCTTTGGGTTGTGTTGCATTGTACACATGTCGTCATTGCGTCACATCAGCGTCGGCTAACATTATATTTTTAGATGCTAGGTATTTTTTCTCCTGCGTCAAAATGGAACTGAGAGATATTCAACTTTTCGTCACATGAAACAAGGCATCGCCTATGCTATGTTATCTAACGCTGGTTTAAAACTCAATTGAATATTAGTTTAGCGTTAATCGGACTAATTTCCATCCGCGGGAAATAAGGCACATGGTGTTTGCTAGCTTAGTTAAACAAGTTAACCATTTGAAAAGAACTAAATAATTTATTTTCTCATTTTCCTTGGAAGTAACACAAGGCTACGCAATGTAAGCAAATAAGTATAATACAGCTCGGAAACTTGTGTTGAAACAATCGCGTCAAATACTACAGTTCCCATCATGCTTTTGCTTTGTCACGTGTCCTCCTCAAACAACAACAAGCACAGGCATGCCTGTGCTTTATTTAGCAAAGAGTTTGGTCTCGTTTCTCAAACGTAAATCTGGGCTGTGTACAGAGGACTGCGTGCTTCGGTATGTACAAACGACGCTGCGCGTGATTTGATTCATAGCGTAGTTAATGTTGTAGCGTAGCTTCTTCTGAGGCCAGTTTTCATTACTTTCATGACTGTCTTTCTTATATCGCTATGCACTCCACTAAACATGGCTGATACTTAGTTATTATTGCTTAACAAGTAGATACGTCTTTCCGTTTTTTTCGTTTGGAGACTGAAAATATATCCCAAAGCATTTATGTTCCCCCCGTGCAACTAAAATTGTTATGAATTATTTGTGAATTTAGACAATTAAATAATAATTATGTGAACATTGTGAAATTAATCACAAGTAATGTAATGTTACAGTATATTTACAATTTATAAATATTACATTATTTATATATTATACTGTAATGTTAAAGTATATTTTACAATTTTCTTTCAGATTCAGGAGAGAAGTGCTGATATTGACACCAGATCTTATACCCACCACTTCTACTTTGGTAGCTTCAATCAGGTAAAAATGTAACTATACATTTGATTTATAGTTTACTAACTGTATACAACATTGAATCCATATTTTTGTCTTGCAGGGGACCAATAATCAAGACTCAAAGAAGGAGAAAGATTAGAGACAGTAGGCTTTTTAGATCAGATGGCAATGCAAAGTTTGCATTGCCATCTCATCTCAAAAGAGATGGCAATGCAAAGTTGGAGAATCACCACCATTCCTCTTGAGCAGACCTTCATGTTCAATCTGGACAAATACACTCCAAATTTACTTTCTGTGTTTGCGAAGAAGGGTGGTGCTATCGGGGCAAAACTGAAACCTGTTTTGAACAAACAGATACAGGTATGTTTAGTCATAACTTATGCTGAGTACAATACATAATTTGTTCTTTCCCATTGATAAATCCCTGTTTTGGTGCTATTTACAGAACCAAACAATTGAGATGAGACGTGACAATGTGATTCGTGGTTTAATGCTCTACCTCGGTGAAAATGAGGAAGAACTCTTTCTAGATTGCCAGGTACCATTCTTGATATTTTTCTCCCCCATTCTCTCAAAAACTCAGGGTCGTCCTATTCCTCACATATTTAACCTGTTTTGTAAGAGTGAGTGTCAACACTTCAAATACACCAAACGAAATACAGTGGTAATTTAAAGCTCTCACTGTCAGAGTTTGGGAACTCACTGCTCTTTCTTTTATAAACTTGTTTTGATTGTTTTTTTTATATTGTGCCACGATGATGAACTCCAATGTAATGTAACACAGCATGTTGACCCATGACAAAAACACACGTCCGTGTTTTGGAATCACCTTATGGCTGTGTCTATGATTATGACCTGTCTTGTGATTATTGATCAATCAAGTATAATGTTTGAAGAGAACAAAGGTAGTCTGAGGCACTCTGTTTTGGTGAAAAAATTAAAAGTCCTTTAATGAATTGGACTGCCTACGCGTTTCGACCAACAGCGGTCTTTGTCAGGGCATAAATTAGATAAATAAAAAGATTTATGGCTATAGAAGTGAGCTATAGCTATAGCTATGTAAGCTATAGAGTGTATTTATCAAAGTAATTCTTCCTCTTTACAATTTACCCAGGCGCACTTAGAGGATGTTGGCCGGCACAAAATGAAGATCCTGGTCGTTTGTTCTTCCTCTGATGAAGAACCTGTGGATGTCTCTATTGTTCTCGACGGCAAGGAGATTGTGACTGGATGTGGAAATACTGCAAAGGCATGTGCACTGCTAATGGGTCTAATATATTCCTTCAATCTTGCTTATCCTACAACACTACGATACACCTTCGAAGTATTTCAGAAGATTTTCTTACATTTAGATGCATTTAAGCCATCCCCGAAAATACAAACACTGAAAGTCAAGCTACTGTCCAAAACATAAGAGAAGCAATTTTGTTCAGCATAAGAGAAAAGGCCACAGATTTTTATAATTTGATGTTGTTACTTTAGCTTAGACTCTAGCTTAGACTAGAATATGAAAATTAGTCATTAAAACATGGACATGTTAAATTAATTGACTATTCTTGAATCTAGTAACTCCTCATGTAACAGTGTTTTAATTAGGGAAAATGTGAAAGAGCTCGGCCACTTCTAAAATTACCTCGGTCTGGAGCCATTGAGATTTACTGCGAGAGGCTAATGCTACAACATCCTGGTCTTTAGCTGAACAGAGGCTCAAAGACCAGGCAGGTGCATCATCTCATCTAAGCTAATGACATTTAATTATAGAAAATCAATGGCCTATCTCTATACCATTCCCATTGCATCCTTTTTGTGATAATTAAGTTTTCTGTTGTCATGTGTTCTGCTTTTAAGGTCAGCTTTAGTTCATCTTTTAGTTTTCATTGTTGATGTGTGAACTTAAAAGTTTGTCAATAAAACAGGTTGTTAAATGTTGATATTTGCATATTGTTTTTTCTTATTAATTCAATAATAATGTAATTGTTACACACATATAGTACTTAATAAGTATTATTGCAATGATATGAAATATACTGATAAAATATAAATAACATTTATTCAAGTTATCCATTATTGTAAATGATCTGTACACATAATGGTTACTCAGTATATCTATTTCACACATAAATAACCTAAAAAAAATCACATAAACCTTACTTGATTATTTTATGTGATCAAGTAAAAAAAATCAGTAAGTAAGGTTTACTTACAAATAACATTCAGATTATACTTGATGAAATAAAAAGAGTTTTACTTGATTTATAGTAGTAATCTTTAATTATATCTTCGTGCAAATACTTACGAGGATTTTTTTAAGTAAATGTTAATCACGATTTTTTTCAGTGTATAACGTAAACTTTTGCATCACGTTGGTGATCTTTCCAAAAAGAGAGAATATCGTTATGGAAAGAGAAACTATTGGTAATATAACGCTGAACGTTATTTGACTCAAACAGCTCCGCTGGTGTCTCCTCCCACTCAGAAAAAAAGCAGACGCCTTTTCTCTGGCATCTCTAACATTTATAATAAATACATAAATATAATTAAAAGTAGCTTGCTATATAGAAGCTATTTTCAATTAAACAAACTGCAGTTCATGCAATTTTATATTTTCCTGCATTAACATGTTTGCTCATTTCTTATTTTTTGCACAATTCTTGAGTGTTTTATCCATGCCAAATGTGACATGTACATTTCTCCTGTGTGAGATTAATAAAGCTTATCTTATTATTTGAGATAAACTGTCAGTCAGATAAAGGTTAACATTTTGTAGATATTTATTGAACAATAGCCCAAAACACCAAAAACAACAAAGAGTAGGCATCTGAAAACATATTTCTTTTCGCTCATCTCGACTAGAGTGACGTACTTTTGGAGGTACAGTATGGCCACGGTACAACACTTTGAGAGTCCTTATCATGGTCCTCCTCCACCGCGGCGGCTCCTGGGCTCTCTGCCGTTGCTTTTGCTTCCCCCAGTAGCGCGCATGTGTGTGTGTGTGTGTGTGTGCGCGTACGCTCGTGTGTGTGTTGTTACCAAGCCCTGCGCATGCGCATCAGCATTCTGTCTTTCTATATGTTTGTTTTATGCTGCGGGAAAATGCTGTAATATATGAACATCAGAGATGTCCGTGAGAAAATAGCTTTGGCGAACGCTACCGCGCTACTTGAGCAATAATATAGCTTAGCTACAGAAAAGTTACTAGGTTTTGTAAATAGTGACGCTACTGTCAAGCTACTGAAAAATTTAGTTAAGCTAGTAGCGACGCTACTGCCCATCACTGGTGTTTCGCTGCATTCATATGCAAAGTAGGGACATTAGCATGAAAAAGAGCGTGATTTCCTGCCGTTTAGGGTGACGAAAATCTAACTTTTCATGCAGTGCCATATACTGTAGTCGCTGCAGGAGCAATTGTCCATTATTTTAATTGGATTTCTGGTCCATGCACACTGTAAAAAAGAAAAAGTTAGTTCAACTCAAAATTTCAAAGCAACCAGCTGCGAAGGATTTTTGAGTTGAAGGCATTAACTTAATTCTTCAAGTTTTGAAGAACTACACTTATTAAGTTGTGTCAGTTAAGTTTTCCAAGTTCTGCCAACTAAGTGTTTAAATTCAAGTTACTGGAAATTTCAAGTCTGTAAAAACTTTTTAAAGTTCAGATTACTGTCCTCTACAATAATTTGGCTTGGCCCTGTCGATTACGGTTGGTAAAAATAAATATTGTCATTTGCTTCTGTCCTGTTAGTCAAAATAAAACATATCACGACTGAATAGTTTCTCCCTGTAAAACTAAAGCTCATTTCATGGCTTTGGTCATCACATACAAAACTGTTGAACTCGTTCAAAACCAAAATCTGTCAATCTGATTTCATACAATACTTTATCTTTTTACATCCTGAACATTTTTCCTAACACGACAAGGTGTGTTTTTTTATTGTTTACATTTGTCACAGTTCTACCATAATGATTGTGAGATTTCATAACACTTTTAAGCAACTTTTGTTACAGTTAAACTCATCATTCTATCAATGTGCAGAAGCCAGTACTTTTCCCTTGTTTTGTCTATCTGAAGGCCAAGCTACATGGCACTGTGGCAGCTGCTGATTGGAGGTCTCCATGCCTCCGCTCTGTATAATACACTTGCATTCTGTTGTATCTGTTGTTCGTGCTGTCTCTACCATCGACAATAAAACATGTCTTCTGTCAGAATTAAAGACGCGATCCCAGACTTTGTCATCTTCTTCAGGTGGTGGAGAATGCGGGCATTGTCTGTAACATCTAGAGAACAGAAGACTACTTTTTTTTTTACACAAAAATGTGTTTTTTTTTTTCAAGCCAAAACTGAGAAACCTCAAGAGAATGCATCTGGATCAGCCCATGGACAATCTGCACAGCCCCTGATTCCACTCAGGCTGTGAGCTGCTGAGACATGGACAACACCAGCGTCCTCTTTTGCATGGACATCATTTGGAACAATTGGATTACAAAATTTGGACATCATTTGGAACAATCTGGATTTCTGAATTTGGACATAATTTGGAACAATCTGGATTTCTGAATTTGGACATAATTTGGACTGAATTGAATTACTGAATCTGGACACTAAAGCTGAAACGTGCGATTGAAAGACACGTCACAGAAGAATTCATGGCGCGACACAAATGCAGCCTGAAGAAATCAACACGGAGAAGTGGGAGAGACTGTTTTCAAAGCAATATCTGAGAACCATTGACTGATGAAGTTTGGTATTTTACTGAAGATTGTTGACAAGTTTTATGAAAGATCTGAAAATGTTTTATGAGTTTTCTGAGTTTTTTGAAGTACCGAGTGAAGTACCGAGTTTAAGTATTGAGTTATGATGTTATGTTGCTGTTTATCGATCCTGATGGTCACACGTGAATGTATGACCAGAGGGGGGAATGTGAGATTTCATAACACTTTTAAACAACTTTTGTTAAAGTTAAACTCATCATTCTATCAATGTGCAGAAGCCTGTACTTTTCCCTTGTTTTGTCTATCTGAAGGCCAAGCTACATGGCTCTGTGGCAGCTGCTGATTGGAGGTCTCCATGCCTCCGCTCTGTATAATACACTTGTATTCTGTTGTATCTGTTGTTCGTGCTGTCTCTACCATCGACAATAAAACATGTCTTCTGTCTGAATTTAAGACGCGATCCCAGACTTTGTCATCTTCTTCAGGTGGTGGAGAATGCGGGGATTGTCTGTAACATCTAGAGAACAGAAGACTACTTTTTTTTTACACAAAAATGTGTTTTTTTTTTTAAAGCCAAAACTGAGAAACCTCAAGAGAAACCAAGCGTCTGGACCAGCACACTTGGACAATCTGTACAGCCCCTGATTCCAGTCAGGCTGTGAGCTGCTGAGACATGGACAATACCATCGTCCTCTTTTGCATGGACATCATTTGGAACAATTGGATTACACAATTTGGACATAATTTGGACT